TGCCTTGTTTTTGTACGTAAAACCAAATAAATGTGTGCCCCATAAAAATTTAAGTGTTGATCATTTAAGGACCGCCCTAATATATGTAAATACGTGGAAGCTGTGTATAAATATATGTGTTTGTATTGCGATTTATTTTTCTTCATTTGGTAAAGATCTATTTTATTTCAACTCAAAATTGTTGCTGTTGTGGGTGTGAAATGATTATTTGTATGTTTTATTTTACTATACATATATGTATTGATACATTTGATGTCTGTTCGTACATACATACACACTTACATATGTATGTCCTTCTCACTCGCTTCCCACCATTAGCAACTCCGCTCGTTGGCAATTTGGTGGAATTTTTGAGGCATTTTTGAGCCTCTCACACACATTCGACGGCAGGCATTCTCAGGTGTGCGCATACCCCTCTACTATCAGCTCTCTATTGTTGTTTGACTTTGTTGACATTTCTTTTTTTATGTCACTTCCATCTTTTTTCTTTCGCTTTCCGTGTTGTTACCTTCCTCTTTCTTCTGTCCTTTTCTTCGCTCACATGTACATATGTATGTGATATTTTGGCCACTACATTGCTGCACATCCTTAGAGGCTCGTGTATTGATCCTGCTGTAGATAGTCAGTCGTTGTTTGTGAGTCGGCGTAGACAGACACCTATTTAAAATTTTTTCGGTCTAAACAAAAAAATGCTCTGATGTGAATAAAAAATAAAATTTTGTGAAAATAAATAAAATTTGCTCGAGAGTGAAATAAGTATTTTAGAACTAAATAAATTTTAAATAAACTTTACGGCATAAATTAAAAAATAAAGTTGGGTGGAAAATTTTTAAAACATAAAAAAGTAATTCCAAATTTTCCGTGCCGTGACGGGCCTACCTTAATATTTAGTCTTCGCGTCAACTCTCACTTATTATTCGATCATCTGCACCATAATCTACACCCAAAAATTTAATCAAATAGCCAGCTAAAAATCAACAGCCAAAAGCAAATCGTCAAATTTTATACTAGCTTCCCAATCTCTTTCGAGTTATAACTTTGATGCAACGCATTTACGTAACTCGCATTCTCAACTGCATCCGATATTTAAATACTTTGGCGCTTTTTATTTTCTTCGCTTCGTTTCGTTCGTCTTCGCCACAATTTTTCCACTTGTCAATTAATGCCAGTTAATTCAATAAATTAACTCAAACTGGAGCATTCGGCAATTGTTAAGTTATTAAAATTTATTTCATCGAAATCATCTGCGGCCGCTAGTGCGACGCCGGCACTAATGCCGTCGCCGTCAGCAGCATCAACTTCATCTTTAACTTCGCCGTCGTCGTCATCGCCATCATCACCGCTGTCATCGTCTTTCTCCAATTCGTTTTCATCATCTACATCCTCGTCAACACCATCATCGTCTTCCGCGTCTGCGGCCTCCACCGCCTCTTGGTCAACGCGCCTCAGAGCCGCTGCTTCACAAACCACTTCGACTTCATCACTGCCATCCGGCTTATCGCTGGCATTGGCTGCAGCAGCAGCAGCTGAATCTTCCTCTTCAACAGTCGCTTCCGCCTTCTCGCCTTCATTATTACCTTCATCTTCAGTAGCCGCAGCCACATCGCTGGTCACTGCTGCGTCATCTTCTTCTTCGTCACCTTCATCATCATCAGCAGCAGCGAGTGCGGCCAACACCAACGTCACCTCCACCGCCACAGCCGCATTAACACCTTCGTCGTTCCGCGTTTCATCGGCACATTCTCATTTAAAATTAATACCAATCGAATTCGATCGTAATATAATGGATTTAATTTATGAACCGGCGAGGTGAGTGAGTTGTGTGTTGGGTTTTTTTTTGTTTGTTTTTATGTTTTATGTATGGTTAAACATGATGAGTTGTGTTTTTGTGTATGCTGTATATGTAGTTATTCTTCAAGTGGCTCCTCTATGCTGCTTAACTTTTGAATATCAGCGCAAAATCAAAATGATAACTTGAATTAAACTCTTTATTGCCTATAAAAATTAACTTCTTTTTTGCTAAGCGATGACTGATTTTTTCAAAACTTCGAGCTTAACGACTTGGCTCAAGATCATACTTGTTTTTCTGTTATAAAAACTTTTTTTTCTTCAAAGCTCGTTGTGGCCGGCATTGAAGAAAGAATCGTCGAAAAAGTTGTTGTTGCTGGAATATTTTTATTAATTGGTATATGATTTCCCACGTTTTTGCACAAAAAATCTTAACCCTCGACGAGCGATGGTTGTAAAGGCGCTACTTTTTAATTTGTGGTTTTTTAGAATGCAATTTTTTACTAAATATTTGTTTTGAAGGGAAAAATATGTGTATATAAAATATTGTATATGTAAAATATTGCCAAATTATAAATGATTTCAATTCAAAACCTGAAAGGTCTGAATTTCCCTGTCGGCGGGAAAAGTTAATTTTGCAGCAACAAAATGGTGAAGAGCCTTTTGTTTCTATCTTTATTGAGTTCCACCCACCAAATGGTAAATAGTGCAATACTGGCAGTTAAAAGAACACCCACAAAAAAACATTTTCTTAGAAATCGCAAAAAAATGCAACATGAACTTGACCCATTAAATTCAAAACTCTTCATCTTACACGTTTTTGATAGTTTAAAAACGTTTTAAAAGCGTTTTAAAATTTAATTTTTTAAAAGCAAAAAATTTATTCAAGGTTATGTCGGAAGTATTTTTTTTTTCGCTCCAAAATAGAATTTTCAAAAAAGTATTTAGTACTTCTTCATTTTCCATATTTTATTTTATTTTTTTAGATTATCATTAACTCAAATACGGTTGCTCGAAAATAGCTATAAAAACCAGAGCACAAAATCGATTCCAATATTTCACTTACAGACAACGACAACTTACAAAAATAAAAACGCCGTTATTTGATTTGAAACTCTCCTTAACAAATGCCAAGGACAAAAGTTTTATTTTTGCAAATACGAAAAACGACTTTTTGTAATAAAAACTGTTCAAATTGCTCACAATGCAACGGAACATTTTTACATCGAGAGAATTCGAAGCAAAATTTAAAACTTAAGCAAAAGAAAAAACAAAAGGATTCAACACCGAAAACTACATGGCCTTCAACCTCCCTCATTTCATTAACTTTCCTTCATTTTTAAAATATTCAAAAGCTATTGTGTAGTTCAGGGTTAAGACACAAAACATACCTTTTCAAACGATAGCATATTCAAAGCCAGAATCTTTCTCTCAGTTAAACAATTAAGAAAGAAAAAAAGTTAAACAAAAGGAACTTACTAAACTTACAAAAAAAATAAAATTAAAATATTACAATGAAAATGAAAATGAAACAATAAAAAATAAGGGAAGTTTTGCTTCGAAAATTCGGTAACCTAAGATAGACTCGAACTTTGACATTAGTTATGGTGATGTAAGGGTAGGTATTCAGGTCCATTGCACCGAACTTTGACATTAAAGTTAGAACTTTCAATGAATGTGCAGCTTTGTTTGACATTCATATGTTAAGAGAGGTCAAAAACATTGTAGCAAAGCAAAAAAATGTTCTAGCATTATAGAATATACAATAAAGCCCCTTTACTCTTCGTTAACTTAAAATAGAAGTTCAAACTTTTGATGAGTGAATGCTATACAACGACCTCCAACAATGAGCTTTAAAAAGACCTTTTCTGACACAAAAGCAACAATAATTGAAACAACTCGCAATTAAGATGAACTTTTCAAGCTCATATATAACAATCACAACTAGGAGCAGATTTTCTTCGGAGTATTTCTAACAATAGACAGGCTCGAAATGGCAAATGGCAATTCAATGAATCTAACCTAATCAATAAACATACTCGTGTTATGTTCAGACCATAGTAAAAACAAAAGAAATCAAGGGTTGACTTTAATGAGAACAATAAGCTTTCATTAATTTCAAGACCTTTGCTGGGCATTCAAGAAACAGTCGAAATATTAATAAAAGCACATACATATGTAGCTAACTCTATGAGTTTCCTAACATGAAAAAAAATATATAATATTTATTTCAACTAAGGAAAAAGTTTCCATCAATTTGAAAGCGAAAGCTGTCACCTTTTGAAACAAAGGAAAATTTTTCAAAGGATAGAAGTTCGCCTTCCACTACTGTGAAGAAAAAGTTGTTTGCGTTGAATGATACACCTTTAACCACTTTCAAATTTCGAGTAGCTTAATGAATAAATACTTATGGCAGCTGCTTTATTTTGTAACCAACTTGAAAAGGAAAATGCATATATTTTTTCCCCAACTATACTCGGAGCAATTGCTAAATCCATGGCAGTTTGATCTACATCCATGCATATACTTACGCATACCTATTTAAAATAAAATGCAATACCATGTTCTTAAAAAACTCTCAAAATACTAGGGCCATTTCAATGATTTTTATTTTAAACGATCATATAATTTTTTTTTTTAATATTCTAAATTTAATTGTGAAATAATACACTTAACCCGCATTTGTATTTGAAAAAATTTCAAGAAACTTGTCTCTCGTGAAAGTAATGGGCAGATCGAAAGTGTGGATTAACATAATCCTCAATGCTTTCATCCTTAAAAAATATTACGAGACAAGATCAAACGTGTGTGTCAATGCTTCAGACCACAGTGACTGGTTAATGCTATATCAAATGAAAATACACATTCTTTGTTTAAGATAAACTCCCAAAATGATAGCCCGATTTTTACGGTTTAGTTTGTAAAATAAATATTTGAGCTACAGGGGGGCCATAGGGATATTTTCTTCTGGATCGTGAAAGAATTCACTCAAGTGTGTACTATTTTGCTATATAAATCTTTAGAGCGTTGCTTTTCTAAATGCATAAGACTCAGTTTGGCTAATTTGCCAAGTCAAGTCATCGACATAATTTTATGCAAAGCAAATACGAAAATACTTCTACCACCACTATTTTACAAATTTTTCCTATCTACTCTCTCGCTTTGTTCCAAAGTTTTAATCGTATTTTTCTCTCGCTCTCTTATAATTACAGATTGCCGGTGAACGAATGTCAGGCAAGTCAAACTGCTAGAGTGACATCTAACCTGAACGCATCAAGTAGTACAATGGCGGTTAGTCGAGTACCATCGCCACCTTTACAGGAAGTAAATACACCGGTCGCCGAGAACTGGTGTTACACACAGGTAAGTGACATAGAGCCATTTGGATTTGCATATTCTATTTATACATGGTTATCAATAAAATAAAAGAAACTGAGCATATTTAAAAGGAAAACATGGAACGGTAATAATAACAGATAAAAGAAAAATAGTAGTAGAGAAAAAGATTAAGGTAGGAAAAAATCACAGTAGAAAAAAAAACGAAAAATATAGTAGCAGAAAAATAAAATAAAAAATACTAATAAAAAAGAAAAACTAGTATCCATTAGAAAAAATAGTAGAAGTAAATACACCAGTCGCCGAGAAATTGATTTTCTTTGATATGGGAGGAGATAAACGTGTATATACAAAATTGGGAAAATATAACAACATTGAGGTATAAAAGATAAAAATATAGTATTAGCAAAAATAAAAAATATAGTAGCAGAAAAAAAGAAAAATTAGTAGTATAAAACGGAAAATAGTAGTAGAAAAAATATAAATTTTCAGGAAAATACAAAAAGAAAAATACAAGTGTAAGTATCACAACAAAAGTAGAAAAGCAGTATAGATAATAAAAATTTTAAAAAATAAAATTTCCGCAAATGAAATATATAATATGAGTACGAAATCTTACAATGAAGCAAACAACAAAAAAACACAGTAAAAACACCTTAAATCAAACACTCCCCACAAGTAGCTACAAAACTAGCCCAAGAACATTCATTTTCTCACAACCCCGACAAGATTGAAGTACTAAGTAAAAAGGTAGTAAATAGTGCTCACTGCATTAACATAGTTTCTTTATACATACCTACATATGTAGGTATGCAGTAAGAGAAAAACAAATTGTAATTGAAACTGCTCGCAATTCGCAACAATGTCAAATGGAGAATTGTAAAATTGCAAAAGTGTGCAAGAATTTGTAAGAATATTTGCTGCTCGCATAATGAAATGAAATGCATTCGTTACGTTGTTGCTTGTTCTCAATAGAGTGCTCTTGTTTATTTTCATATTTTTTTTGTTCTATTTCTCATTTTTTTTTGAAATTTTTCTTGCTTGCCTGCTATGCGCCCCACCTGAGCAACCCTGACCTTCTTCGCCGCTCGCTCACACCTTGGCTTCACATATGTATGTATATACTTATGTTGTATGTAGTAAATATACAAACACACATTCATGCATAGCTATTTATTTTACTTCCTCGTTGCTTGAATGTGATTGAATTTCAACTGACGACGAAAATTTACTTCCTATCAACCTTAACTGCGCTTGCTAACTTGCAAATGTGGCTGCAGTAAAACAGCAAAAACAAAAAAAAAAAATGCAAGCAAGAACAAAAAACAAATAAAGCGCTGTAGTGCTAACCTCAAACTGAGACTGTGTGACCGACTACCTAGGAAATCTATGTTCTTTTTTGTATGTATGTATGTATGTAGCTGTTTCGATTTGTATGCGTTTACGTGCATTTTTCGTTGATGAACAGTTCGCTTCGCAACGAGTGTCTATTTACCTACGCTTCTACATATAGTGCATATAGCATCCATTCCATAGGCTTCTCTATCATTATTCAACAAAACATCCATCATTCTTGCTAAACACCAAAGAAGATGGTGGCTCCGATGAAACCGTTTGCCATCGTCGCGCTTGTTGACAACGATCTTTTTTTAATTTTTTCAATCTTTTTATAAGCAGAAATAAAACTTTTGTTGAAATAGATGTAGACTATTTATTGATCTTTTGCTTCCTTTTTATCTTTTGTTTATTAGCTCAAATTTCATTCTACACATCGCCATTCTTTTTACCCAATTTTTATTGGATGTGCCACTCAATAGACTCATATTTAATATTTATTTGTTGATTTTTGTGAAATTTTCCCATGAAATTTGAGTTAGGTTTTGAATTTGCTGAATTTAGCGATTTAGTTCAAATTTCTGATTGTATAGATCAAATTTACTGCCGCTTTTATTTAAGCACTTCCTCTTTTGAAGAAAGCAAGTCCGCAATGCGTGATTACAGTGCCTGTTAAACCATTTACACTGTCCCAAATGGAAGTGAGGTGGCCCCATAGTTTCACTTCCTTTATCTCTTGGCAAGCTGATGAGAAAGCGAGAACCCAAGTAATTCAGTCGGTTTGTCTAACGAGGTGTACATTGTCATAAGAAATGGTGATTCGATTACTACTCGTCTTTATGCCGATTACTTCTGCAGAGCAACCTCGAAAAGGAGAGACCCGATTGGCGAAGTTTTTTGTCTCGGCCCAAACCGACGAACCGTTGGAGAGCCAAATAGGAAGCAGAGGAACAACAAAAATCGGTGTTCGTAGGAAGTATGCTGTCTCGCTGATCTACATTACCGAACCGTGGCTAGTCATCTAATCGACTATTTTGTTACCTTCCATATTGCTGAGTCCAGAAAACCGGCAGAAAGAGGCGTTGATGTGAGTCAGTGATGCTGGCGTTGCACGAAATTTCCGAACAATTATTGACTTTACTAATTTGGATCCTAACGGTTTCCATGCCATTCGACTATCCTGATAGGAACTTTTACGTAGTCCTGATATGAAAAAGAACTAACTGAATTTTTTTTTTCATGATCAAGTTTTCCTCAGATTTAAATCGATACTAAAATCGGGATTGAGTAAAAAAATAGACTGTAAAGCAGCAGAGATTGTAATTAATAGAGCATATGGCAATGGCATTCCTTGTATTTTTTCTATTTTATATGTTCGCATTAAATTAATTTAAGAAAATATAAAAAATTACATAAAAATTATTTTTTTTTCAGGTGAAAGTGGTGAAGTTCAGCTATATGTGGACCATAAATAATTTTAGTTTTTGTCGTGAGGAAATGGGTGAGGTACTGAAATCGTCCACATTTTCTGCCGGTGCTAGTGACAAACTGAAATGGTGAGTTAAAAAAGAAGACTATTTTTTTAAATTAATAAGCAAAATACTAAACTTTTTAAGTAAAAAGCAACAAAAAATATAAGAAAAATTAGAGAACTAAGTAAATAAAAGGAAAGAAAATTTTTTTAAATTAATAAACAAAATATGTACTAAAATTTTTAAGTAAAAATTAACAAAAATATATAAGAAAAATTAGAGAACTAAGTAAATAAAAAGAAAGAAAGTTTTTTTTAAATCAATAAACAAAATACCAAAATTTTTAAGTAAAAATAAATATAAGAAAAATTAGAGAAGCAAGTAAATAAAACCTAAACTAAAACAAAAAATATAGTATAAAGTAAAAAACTAAATGCATTAGCAAATTAAAGCAAAACTTATAATAAAAACAATACAAAAAAAATTTATAAAATTTTGTAAAAACAAAAATTTGAAAAAAATAAAACTGAAAAATAGAATTTTTTTCTCTACATTTATTTACTGAGACCGTTATTCCGTCTAAAATGTAAATTCTCTAATTACAATTTTTACCTTTTCACAGGTGTTTACGCGTGAATCCAAAAGGTCTCGATGAGGAGAGCAAAGATTACTTATCGCTATATTTACTGTTAGTGTCGTGTAACAAATCAGAAGTTAGAGCCAAATTTAAATTTTCCATATTGAATGCGAAAAGGGAAGAAACCAAAGCTATGGAATCGCAGAGGTAATTTCATCTTTTTATTTGCTGCCATACGCTTTTACTAATACATATTATCTCTTTCTTCTTTTCCCGCTCCATCTCTCTCTCTACCATTTTCCAGAGCCTACCGTTTTGTACAGGGCAAAGATTGGGGCTTTAAAAAATTCATACGACGAGATTTTCTATTGGATGAGGCCAACGGTCTGTTACCCGAAGACAAATTAACTATTTTCTGTGAAGTTAGCGTTGTAGCTGATAGCGTGAATATCTCTGGTCAATCAAATATCGTACAATTTAAAGTACCCGAATGTCGTTTGTCCGAGGATTTGGGTGCGCTATTTGATAATGAGAAATTCAGTGATGTAACGTTGGCGGTAGCCGGTAGGGAATTTCAAGCGCATAAAGCAATATTGGCAGGTAAAAGAAGGAGTTTATTGTTGTGGCATTTATTTATAATAAGTAGCTAATAGTCGTATGGCCTTATTCGTAGTTAAAAAATAAAGAATACTTTAAATGCTTTATACGGGTAAATCGAAAATTTATATGTATGAAAAGGTCACTGCTTAAAGCTACTTAATTTTTTTTGTCACTTAAATATTTTAATTATTTTCTGAAAGTATAATAGCTTATTAAAATGGAATGTTATCTTATTTGTTCATTATTTCCACTTCTTTAGCACGAAGTGAAGTCTTTAATGCTATGTTTGAGCACGAAATGGAGGAGCGCAAACTGAATCGTGTCGATATACACGACGTCGATCATGAAGTTCTGAGAGAAATGCTGCGTTTCATCTACACAGGCAAAGCGCCAAATTTAGAAAAAATGGCTGATGATCTCCTAGCCGCTGCTGATAAGGTGAGTGTGCATATTTTTATTGCAGGAAAGAGAAATTTTATTTAAAAATAAATCTGAGCGATATTTTCGGTTGCAAGATATCATCACTTTGTGACTTAAAAAAATAGCCGTCCGTCACCTATTCACAACTCGATTTTTTTTTTTTGTTCAATGGGTTAAGATATCTTATATCGTTAAAATAATTTTGATCTGCTGACAGCCTTATAAAAAAGAATTTAGTGTACAATTTCTTCGTCAAACCTTTTAACCTATTGACTTTTACAAAGTGGGTATTTTTGAATATTAACCCTAAACGGGTAAAAATATGTAAAATAATGTTACTCCTTAAGGTTTAAAGACAAGAAAATTGCACGAAACTTTTTTTAGATGCAGTTATCCTTCTTGGTAGGCGCTGTAACCGCCTAAGTGCCAACTGACGTCAATTGGAAATGCCAAGTGAACCCAAGTTCTTCTCCACCTGGTATTTCCACCGCAGATGATGTCTTTCTTTTTCTCCGCTACCAACATCAAGGAGTGATGAAATTTCTTTCCGAATTACATAATCTTGTAGTGCAAATAACTCTGTTCACGTTTTGAAGTAGCAAATGATAAAAAAAAAGTCACAAAACTTTATTGAAAACAGTAACATATGGCAGCGCAGTTAGATGTGTTTTTTTATGAAATTAAGTTCCAAGTTCAAGCTTTCGAATTTCAACTTCAGCTTCTTGAAAAATTTTGTTCCAAATTATTTGATAAAAAATACGGAAGCCCTATCGGAAATCGTTTTTGAAATTTTACAAGTCTTCATATACATAACTATATTGATGTCTTTCCAAATCGATTGGTATAAAATATGGAAACGCCCTTCATAAACGAATCAAATTGAACAATTATTCATAATAACGCCCTTTGAAGTTTATACGATGCATTTTTGCAAGACAATTAGAAAACAAAAATTTTTTAACCGAACATTGGTGTCGCCCTTTTACATTTTTCGTCATATCTTCGGCGTTTACAGTTGCATCTTAAAGTATGATATATCGATGTTCTTGCTTTGAGCAGACAATTTCTTTTTTTTTTTTGCCCGCTCAAGTATGCCGTTTTACTACTTACCCACAGGATCTCAGTTCTTATCGCGCTAACGTAGCACGCTAATGTCAGCAAATTGAAGCTGACCGAAAATCGTTAAACTTTTGTTAAGGAAGTATTTCGATTATTCTAGTAGAACTATTAAAAAAAAAAATATTGCCAAAGGTAGAAAGATGTCACCAAAAAAATTTAAAAAGCCTAGGCTCGAAACTGCCTTGCAAAAATAGTTTATACTTTGCTTGTAACGTGGTACGGTCTAATGTGCATATGTATGTATGTATGTATATCTACGATAAATTTAAAATTTCATTACTATCAAAAGCGTATGGCAATCCGGTTTAATGGATTTTCAAAGTTAAAAAGTCTTGAGTTCAAACTTTTGAATTTTCCCTTCAGCTTTTTGCGGAATTTCGATTCAAAAATATTAGAATAACATATGGTAAGCCTTTTCAAAAAAATATTTGAAATAATATTTCATAGTTTAATACAGCTAAGTTTTTTTGAGTTAATAGCTGCCTTTTATTCAAATTCCATGCTCAACTCAAATAAACATTCTGCTTATCAAATTTTGACCAAAAAGCATCCCAACAATGAAACTTTCAATTTATTGCACTTAGTTTTTTTTTTTTTGATTGTATCTTTCCTCGAAATAATTTGTCGCTTTTATAAACAGTTTGATTATTTCTTTGTTTTCGAGGGCAACATAAAAATCTCCCCTTTGAACATCTCCATTTCTGCGAACAACCTTTCGACATGCTCGTCATGAACCACCAATCTAAATTATTTATTTTCACAACTAATCAAATTACTTTTCGACTAATTTTTCATTTTATATTTGTGCTTCTTTTGTTTACAGTATGCGCTCGAAAAGCTGAAAGTGATGTGCGAAGAGGCGCTCTGTCTTAATCTCTCCGTAGAAACCGCAGCGGAAACTCTAATATTAGCCGATCTCCATAGTGCGGATCAATTGAAAGCACAAACCATTGATTTCATAAATACGTAAGTAGTACACCAAAAAAGCAATCACATCAACACGAAACTCCCCCTTAAATTCCAAATGCAGCGCAGCACAATTGATGCGATGTGCATTGTGTTTGTGTGTGTGTATGTACATAATTGTTTATAAACATACTTTTTATGCGAAATGTTTATAAACAAATGCGTAAATGCGTGCGCGTTTGAAGTTGCGGAGCTGAGTGTTTATTTATTAATTTGCTTTTATTAATTTTCCCGCACTCCTTCTTTTTCTCAAAACTCTTCCTCCGCTCGTACGTTTGCTGCCCGTTAGTCATGCCACTGATGTGATGGAAACTTCTGGCTGGCAGAGTATGATCGCGACACATTCACATTTGATTGCGGAGGCATTTCGTGCGCTTGCCACACAACAAATCCCACCAATTGGACCACCACGGAAGCGTGTAAAAATGAGCTGAAACCGCAACGGTGCAAATAGCTATCACAGCAACACCAACAACAACAACAAAAACAACAACAACAATAACAAAAATACAAACAAAAACAAAAATTATAATAACAATAACTGCAACAAAAATAACAGACATAAATTTAATTATAACAAATACAACAACAACAACAACAACAAGAAATTCAATAACAATGACAGGAACCGCAACACAAACTATGTAAACAATGAGATCAATGAAAATAATCAGAAATTGGATAATTATCAATACAACAACAAAAACAATAAAAACAACAACAATATCCGGAGCAGTAGCAGCCACAAAAGCAGCAGGCGCCAACGAAAATGTCACCAGCGGAATCAGAGTAGCAGCACTAGACGCCAACGCGACGGCGTATTAGTGTCTAAAAGCCTTAGTAGCAGGAGCAACAAAAACAACAACAACAATAGCCATAGCAATAAACAAACGCCCATCAAGAGCACCAGTAGTAATGAAAAATCGTTATTTTCGCGCGAGTGGATACGCAATAGCAAAACTATATTGACACATAAGTGCAAGCAACACGCTAACAACAACAAAAACAATAATAAAGACAAGAACAACAACCAACTGAATCACCTAGCAACTGACCGAAATAATAGCAACACACAATTCAAAGACAACAACATCAAAACCAGCAGTAAAATGAATGTTGTAGTTTTAAGCGACGATAACATTCACGGCAACAACCAGATGAGCTACTGTAGCTATAAATGCAACAGCGATGGCAATAGTCCACATACAAAAAGCATGAAAATTTATTACCAACCACAGACACGCACTCCAGCAACATTTCGCAGGCACATTTTGGAGACGAAATCAAGCGTCCAAAACCACAACAACAACAACACCAACAACAACGATGACGGCAACAGTGCTGGCAACATATTCATGCTATATATGGTTGGTATACCATGTTTTCTACTGCGAGATATGTTGATGGAGCCCGTATATGCCAACGACGCAGTGCAGGTACACTGGCGAATATAACAATTGCTATGCGCAGTCGAGCCGCCGCTGGCAGCTGCAGCAACAGGAAGAAAGTCAACCAACATTGCTACAGCTACCGATCCCACTGATGCGCACGCGACCACCACAACCGCACTCTCAACTACAGTCATGCGTATATAAATGAGAGCTCACATACAGCAACAATTCCATTGTCTATTATTTAAAGATTTATTTTACTTTACTGTGGAGCTAAGCCATTTATTATGAATTAAGGAAGTAAGACAGTTAAAAAGCAAATTGTTGCCAAACATGTGCTCTTTAGTTACATTTAGCCGCTTAGCAACATTGTTGCAGAACTTCTTTGATTTGTTACTGGCGCTTGTGAGCATAGTTGTTCAGACGTACACATCTTTTATTGTTGTAATTGTAAGAGAAACTGGTTTTCGTGCTTACGAGATAAGATTTTGTTGCTGCGGGGAAAGCGTTTACAACTTAGTTGTTGGTTGTTTGTTTGGTGCTTCAAAAAAATTGTTTTTAATTGTTGCCAAATTTTAAACAAATCTGAAGGAGTGAATACATAATGTATTGCAATTAAAAAAAAAAAAAATATGTTAAAATTTTGAGATCCCAATTTTTAATGCAATTTTTTAAAAACTCCCATTGCTTGCTCTTAAAATTAAAAATCACAGAAAAGTTATCGCAAATTTTTTTGAAATTCGGTTGATATTGTCACAAAAACTGTTTCTTAAAAGTTGCTGTTAGAATTTTTCCAACTCATTAAAGATTGAAAATAAATATTGCGAAAAAATTTAAATTTAATACAAACTTATATGTACATATATTTTTTGTAGTTTTAATGTGTAAACTTAATTAAATTTGTAATGCAATTGCCAGCACCAACAACAGCAATGGCAATCTATGAGGAAAACATGAAATTTCTGTGAAAATAATTCATGCTACGCTGCGCTCAGATTTTTTTGTAAGCAAAAGCGATAGCAACAACTACAAAAACAACAAACATGCAAACACAAAAACTGACCTTAAATCTGTATCAAAAAATGTGATTCGTTTGCTTTTTTTTCTTCAATATTATTTCTAACTTTTTATTTAGCCTTGACTCTTGATCCTTTAGAACTTTGAACAAATTAAAAAGAAATAAGAAAATAAATAATAAAAGAAGAAAACAAACGAACAGAACGATGATGAGTGTGTGTATGAACCATAAATTATGTAAAACTGATGTAAGCTTTTATGATTTTTTTTTTTGCAATTATATGCTACAAATATGGAACTATTAGTAAAGTTAAAAAAAAAACAAGTAATGCTTTTGATGTGCAAGTATCATGAAATATAAAAAAAAAAAACATAAATACATAATTTATATTATATTTAATCATTAGTTGCAAAAGTAAATGTTATGAATAAAATCAACAATGTATGTACGCACGGCAAAAGCATGAAATGCGGAAATAGAAAAACAAAAAAATGGAAAATTTTCAATTTTTTCTTCTAGTTTTTGCATACCAGTTTGCCAGCGCATAATTTACTTACTTCGACACACAGACTATTGTGCATATGTTTGGTTTGAACGAAAATTTTTGTTAGGTGGCGTTATATTCCTGTGCGTGTTTTATTATCGCTTGCTTAGGTGAAAAGTTGGTAAGACCAGTTTTTTTTTATTTTATAGGACAGAAAAACTTTTCAAACTCATTTTCTTCAAGCACATATTTTGCAAAAAATTGTAAGAGAAAATTTCGCGAATTCCAACTAAAACAACTCCAAGCGAATCAAATTCCACAACGTAAGATTTTGTATTCCTTGGGACTTAGCAAATTTTCTGTGACTTATTTGGACTTAGCAAGTTTGCGTATCACTGACTCGAAACGATTAGCATTAAAACCGATAGCTCGATCTTTTAGGAAACATTGCATTTTTGAATGTTCTTGCTTCTTGCCTTAAAATATTTTTTTTTTTTCGAAAAAGTGGACTTGGCGATTTTTCACTCTAAAGGGCCGTTTCCAGCTCTCAAGAAAAAACGAAAAATCCATATAAAATGACGCACAAGAAATGGAAAATAAATTTTCAGAATTTCTTAAATCAGTTTGCAGCTCAAGAATAAAATTTTCGTATTTCTTCAAGAAAACCTACAGCAAAAGGAAAGTACTTTTTCAAGCAATAGAAATAAAGCAAAGTATTTTGTTTTGATTTTCCTTGAGAGCTGGATTCTAAGCTTTAGTTAGCGATAAACGCCACTTATGGGTTTAGCTCTAGAGCTATAACCTGTTCACTGTGTCTTCTATATTTGGGCTTCGTATGCTTCATTGTTTCCTGTGTTGATTGAAATATTAGCTTAAAAAAGCTTTTTAACTTTTTTATTCTTTGCTAGCAGCTAATAAGACAATTGTGAATATGTTGAGGAAAGATTTTATCACACAATTTTACAAATATAAGAAAATCTTCCGACCTGTTGCAGTTGACCATCATTCCTTATTTAAAATGTTCCGCTGAATATGAAGTCGAAACATAAAATACTAGGAACAGTTTTTGAGATATGTATACAGGCAGTTTGTGCAATTCACTTCTAAGTGAAGTTCAACCAAAGTCACTTTGGTGGGGGTTGAAATTCACTCTGAAGTGAATTGCAGTACCTGCCTGATAGCCACATTTCGTTTATTTTTTGAGACCTGGTCTGATAAAGCGCGGTAGATCGGATTTCTTGCTTTAAAAATTTTCTAAAAATTACACTACAATAAAATTCTCAAAATTTTTTATAACTAAAATGTTTAAAACAGAAAACGGGTTTCGAATGGTAGTGATATACTAGAAAGCGCTTTTTTAGAGGAGCTACTCTTTTTGCCGACTGGGATATTTAAGCTAAAATTTTTAATACCAAAATTTAAACTCACAAATTACTCTGATATCCTGATAGTGATATATGTTACTTTTTCTACTTAGTGCCGTATTCTCAAGTAGCTTTTAAAATTTATCTGCCCCGCAACCTTATTTTTTTCAGAACAAAACTTGTGTTTAAAAAAGTTAAATCTACTACATAGAAGATAGAATTTGCATACTTCCAACTTGCCACTTTTCAGGTTGAAGGGTGTCTCAGAATGGGATAGAAATTTGATATTTTTCAGTCTCATTAATTTTTTACTTTTATAATTTTTTTTAGCCGCAAAAATCCAATCTAAAACAGGTACGCTTTCTATTTAAAAGCGGGAAAAACGCACTCCCGCCCATCGCCATTTGTTTCCTCGTTTAGTTGCAATCTTTATGTGTTCTTTTGCGTGTTTTCAAAATTTTTGGATGTAGTTGTATGTATGTACATACATATGTGTGGTATTTGTAATCGACAAAGAAACCATAAACCAAAGGCAAAGAAAGCAATTGAACGCAACGATTATTATTTGCTACAAAGAATATAGAAAAACGTTTGCAAAAAAAACGATCAAGAACAAAAAGTAACAAAAATTAAGCAGCGTGCAGCATATAAGTTTAATACCAGCGACAAAAAAGCAAACAAAATAGATAAATCAACAACAAAGTGATATAAATGTGTAGGCAATTTTCAAAAATAGAAGATAAAAATTGAACAAAAGCAAAATAGAAAACAATAAACAATTCAATGTCCGTAACACTTTAACCGCAAAAAAACCAACCGTTTATAATTGCCGACATTGGCGACATTAGAGCAGTTAGTTAGTATGCGCCGTTAGAACAATATTTTAGTAATGTGTAAAAATAATCGAAGCAAAGGCAAATTGCTGTTTTTTTTGAATAGAAGACAGATAGAGCATAAAATAAAAAATAAAAATTATATGCAAAATTATTAATGCAGAATTTCCACTGCGCGTTGATTAACAATAATTTTGTGTAATGACAGAGCTGAGCATTGACAAAATACTCGGTGTCATTGCTGTAATAAAAATAGTACCTGCTGTGGTTGTAACAGCATAAAAATTAGCTAAACAGTTTTGAGCAATGTTGTTAAAGTCACAGCTATAAATTTGGGGCGTAGTTCCGGCTGTCGTTAGAGTGGATAAAAATAGTCATTGAATTCACTTACACAGCGCTTTTTTGTTCAATGACAAACGAACTTAGTAACTATGTTTATGAACGTAATGACACGATTAGTTTTTAATGTCGTGCTTTTGTTGTAAAACTTTTGTCATTTAAATGCCCAGTGGAAATCCGACTTTCGAAAAAAAAAGTTTTTGAAAATTGAAAACTCAATATTTAAAGACTTACACCCAAATTCCAAAAAAAAAAAATGAAGAAGACTTTAGCTGCTTTATAAATTGAAAATTAGCATGAAATCTACTTTATTTTTTATGAATAAGGCCATAAGCCGTCTGTAGATTTGAGAAATTTGTATGTAGCATAAAAAAGAAAATTGTTTAAAAAAAATTAGCATTGATCCTAGTTCGTGCATGACCCCTCTGCTTTCCCCTCCTAGAATAATCATCTGGCAAGTATGTAGCTGCGCTCGAAAAGCTCGGCATGCTGAGGCTTTCACGTGTGGAAGCATATCAGTTCTAAGCGAAAAGCGTGTGCATAAAGATTTCATATGCGGTAAATTTACGTTTAACGGTTTTTATATTAAAAGCAATTCAAATTAAAAAAAAAAAAATTGTTTTAAACTTTAAAAATTTTAATTTTTTAATTACATACATACAGCTTTGAAGTAGGGCAGTTTCAAATTTTTTCTTCTCGCTCTAATTACTTCACCTGTTATAATTCCACCATATTTTCAATAAGTCTATCTAAACCGAAAGCAGTGAAAAACAATAAAAAAATGTTTTGAAAAGCTAAATTATATTTAATTTCATAAATTATATTTTGCAAATTTTTCCCCTATTCATTGTTGCTTAATTGCAGCGCTCAATAAAAGCAAAGCTTTCAAAGACGGCAGCGATGAGCAAATATTTTTTTTAATAAATATTTTGTTTTTAATAAAATAAAATTAAATAAACTGAAATTAAATTTTTTTTATTTGGTTCATCATTGAGTGGTAAAAATAGATTTGTGAAATTTGTATGTTTTAAAAATTAAATTTTGTTTACTATTTTACGCACAATAATTTTTTTCTCAGTTTTTCACTGCTATTTTTTTAATGGTAATATTGTATTATTTTATAATTTTTTTGCAATTACAAAATTTTTTTTTATATATACAACGTTAAGCGGAAATTTATCATCAACTCGCACCATTAACAATCTAATTAGTCGATATGTACATATACCAACATCCCCACACCACACTAACACCACCAAAATCAACCAACAATACTTATGAAACCGACAACAAAAACAAACAAAATACACACAGTTTTTACAGCGAACTAAAAACAAAAACTGTGTGCTCTGACTGGCCACAAAAAATTATGAATTTTAAATTTGAAAGATTAAAATTGGAAAAAATAAAATAAAAAATTGGGAAACAAAAAAAGGAAATTTTTTAGTGTTGAAATAAAAGGTTTGAACCCGAAGCGATTTTCCACTTGATATAAAAAAAAAAAACGAAAATGATTGCATGGTAGTAATAGATTAGAAATGTGCTGCAAATCACGTGAAAACCCATAGTAAAAAAAATATAAAATTTAAAACAAAACGAAAAAGATTATAAATGTTGCAAGAATGAAGAAAGCGCTGCGTGAGTTAGAACAAAACACAGATTTTCAACAACAACAACAACAACATAATAGTAAAATAGAAAATAAATAAGCGTTTGACAGCGGCACTGGAAAAAATTTAAAACAGTACATGAAATTTGCAACAATATTAAAACAAAAAAGCATTGTAAAATACCCAAATTGTTGTCTTGTAACAAAATGGTATTTCTAAAAGTTGTAAAGCAAAAGTAAAAAAAAATAAATAAAAAATAATAATAAGAAAAAAATAAGTAAATGATACAAGTAAAAATAAAAAATTGCAAAATATAAAGTAAAAACAAAAATACAACTACAAGTTTAAATGTCGTTTTCTCAAGTGGCTTTTAAAATTTAGCTGCCATTCAAAACGCAGATAAATTTTAAAAGCTACTTTCGAAAACGGCACGGAAATTGAGTAAATGAAACAGAGAACATTACAACTTTAAATTTACTACTAAAATTAATGAAAAATTATACAAATTAAAATTTTAAATTTTAAAATAAATGTAAAGTATGAAGAAAATACACAACACTATGCAAGTTTTTTTTTGTCTAAATTTAATTAAATGTAAGTAAATTTATTTTTAAAACTATTATCATTATTATTACTATTAAAGTTATGCTTAATTTTATAACAAATTAATAAATTTATGTAGTATATGAAATCAAATTTTTGTTTAAACTGCTTCAAATTACTATTTTTTAACTTCCTTACACAAAAAAGAAAAAACAAATTAATTAAAATACTTTTGTGCGTTAAATTTTTGTTTAATTTTTTTGGTTATTAATATAATTTAAGTTCTATGCTTTCTTGTTTTGGTTCACCACTCCTTTTTCAATATTAAAACTGCAGACTTTTTTCATTAAGTTGGCGAAATTTTTTTGGAAATTTTTTTCAATTGATTTATTTTAATTAGGTTCTTTTCATTTTTTTTTTTGCATGTGTGGTTTTGGTTTACCACTCCTTTTTCACTATTTAAACTGCTAACTTTTTTCATTTAGTTGCTTTCTCTCAAATACTTTTACACTGCTTTTTCGGCAATTAAAATCTTTTTTTTTCACTTTTCGCTTCTCTCTTTAGTTGTTTACAAATATGCGATGTCAAAGTTAAAGTTAAGTGAAAAAGAGACCACCATTTAAATTTTAATGAAACACAGTTTGTAACTCTATTATAAATAATTTTAATTACTAAATAAAGGAAAAATAAATATCAAAAAAAAAAAAAAATATTAACACAAAAACTTTGTTATTATAGGTATGTAATTTTCACTTTAACTCCTCATTTTTATGTTTTATCGATTTTTTTTTTTTGTAATTTTTATTTAATATATTTTAAGTATTGCAAGTTTATTTTATTTTTTCTTTACTCAAGTCTCTTTGTTCTCAGTTTCGCATAGTTTAGGCCTTGCTGGCAACAAATATGAATAGCAACAAATAACTAAAAGAAAAAAAAAAAAAACAAAAAACAATAGGAAAAGCAAATCTCAGCAACAAATCCAAGCAGCATTGTAAAATACATATTTGGTGACGCATCCAAGAAGAATAAAAGAAGAGTATGCAGTCTCAAGTGTAGATTGCATAAATCTGCATATTATATAGAGAAGTAATAATACAACAACAAATTATTTCAAAAATAGTGCTGAGAATATATACATACATATACGTGTAACTCAGCGTTGATATGCTGCAACAACAAAAACAAGGATAAAGAAACACAAAAACAAAATGGGAATGAAAATGCAAATGAGAAAAACCAACAAACTTTAAAGTAAGCGTAATTTAAAAATTAATTATAGTTAAGCAATTAAATAACTTACTATTACAACAACAACAATACAATACAATTATAATATAAAAATACATAATACATAAAGTAAAATGAACACAGACACAAAAAAAAAATCTTATCAACTTTGTTTTTATTTTCGATGATGCTATTCTAAGGCCGAAAGGTAAGGGTGGGAAGTAGTCAAAAGTTGGCGGCAACAAGGGCAGAGCGATTTTATTCATTTTAATATTGTTGCACAAATGGGAGGACGCTAAAATTTACGCCGACTTTTCATGGCAGAAATACGCTCGGAGATGTTTCTCGGATAAAATGTTTTTTTTTTTAAACAGTTCTTTTGGAATAATCAAAATACTTGCTTAGCAAAAGTTTCATACTTTTTGCAGAGTAAATCTCTTTTTGCTGACATTAGGGAGGTAAATTAGGGTAAGAATGGAGATCTGGTGTGTAGGTACTAAAACGGAGTACTAGAGGCCATTGAACTTTGGAACAAAAAAATTGTGTTCTCGAGGCTAAAACCTTGATATGTCATACTTTACGACCTGACTGTAAATGCCGAAGAGCTTATTCAAAAACCGCAAAATCTTTAAACTAAAGTCAACAAAGTGGTTATATCTACATTAAATTAAAAAAATTTTAACGAGAGTACATACATACCTACATTCTTCTTGGGGATAGGTAAACATTTAAAAAGCTAATATTTGTAACCGCTGTTAAGAGAATTCCCAGCCAAATGTTTATAATTATCAGCACGTATTTAAGGTATTTAAACTCAAAAGATCTATATGTATGAACATAGGGTTAGAAATATATTTATACAGAAATTTTCTTAGATTTACATTTTCGTGTTACGATAAGCAAAGTTCACTGCAGAACACATCCAATTACATATGTATTCGAAATGCCACGTAATTTTTGTACTCTTTGTATTGGTAAAATTTCTCGAAATTTCTACCAATTTAATTTACGTCTTCTTTTCTTGCTCATCCAAAAATTGCTGCAATAGCGCCGCATCAATTGGTATGCTCAACAATTCAGAGCCATCTATGTTACGTTTCGATTTCACCAATTTATGATCAAGAAATTCAGTGAGTTGAGCGCGTAAAGCCAAATCGGAACTGACAAGAAAAGCCTCGCGGCAACTCCAATACAAATCCTTGAAGGATATGCCTATTACAATGACGAAAAGATATTAGTCAAGAAAGATATATGCGCGTAACAATCTTATATTAAACTCACCTTGAAAGTTGGGATTGCCTTTGTTTTTCAGCTGATTCTTAACAATGAGCATGTAAATGCCACGCGTATTTGTGGTCAACGAGGAGAAAACGCTGCGCATAGATGACAATGCTAATTCACCAGAGTTTTGTACCAGCAGCGAGTTTTCGTAGGCAGTTTCATCGCTGTAGGGCAGCATTGTAGTGCAGTCCCACCAAGAGAAATTGAAATTACTTAGCCTCGTGTGATCCCATACTAAAAAAGATATAATGTTTAAACAATGAATGATGACTGCCCAAAAAACTTAATACATATAAATTTTTTTATAAATCAATATTTTAATTAACCGGTTTAGTCGCTTTAATAAAATTCATAGCCCTTAAATACTTCTTCTCGTGAAACTTACATAGCGGTGTGTTGATGTAATCAATGGACGCCAGTAGATGTACTTGGCGTAAACTGGCCAAACGCGCTATAATCGCCTGCGCTTTCGTATTCCTCAGCATGCTGCCATCCAAATTATGCACAATCAAATATATGTGCATTTGTGGCGCATACGAGAGCTCTTCTTCAATTAAATCAACCGCCTCATGGGAATTTGAAGGACTAGCAGTACCACCGCCGTCCAATATTTCACCAACAATACTATCCAATATATCTTTCAACGTTAAACTGGGAAAGAAACCATTAACCACCAATACTGTTTGCTCGGCGAGAACCTCGCGGTGAAATGCTTGCAGAAGCTGACGCTTTGAACCCAATCCGTATAGTAGCAAATTGAAGCCTTCGTGTAGTATGCACAACCATTTCGGAAAATATGAACGATACTCCTCCATCATAGCGCCTATGGCTTCCTCGTGCTCAGCAGAGGGCTTCATTTCGTTAAGCAAACTGAAAAGGCGATCCGCAGGTAGTCGTGGATTTTTAAGGCGATCGAGTGTGTGATCGGAGGTAAGTATTTTAGTGCTGGCATGTGCTTGAAAATATCCATCACTTTCAGGTACATAGTCTACGGAGGATTTCTTAGCGCGCGCCG